ACCTTGAAGAGCAACTATTCAGCACCACCTCAGCACCTAGCAAGAGCAAAATGAATGTGCTCATAGCATGTATAGTCCTTTAAAAAAGAATGATATCACTTAGAAATGTGTCAACAAGGCTTATATCCGCATTATGCCACGTAAGGAACTCATTTTCAACCTGGTATTTGCAACAAAATTTGCTCAACGAAAATCAGTTCTATTCCAAGTATAAACATCGCTTTCCTTCCATTCAGAGACGCCCATTGTTTTAAAATCAATAATTTTGATTCGATTCATAATGTATTGAAATTTTAATCTTTGCATACATGATTGGAATCGTAACTGGGGTGACTCATATTTTAGCTGATACACTCCGATTTTGCACAAAAGTCGCACACCGAAATCAACTTCATAAAGCAAGATGCACATCACAGGGGACATAATCACAGTAGAACATACAGATAAGAGAGAAATTTTACAATATCGAGTTACACATGCATACTTCATGCAAGCTGATAACCCGACTCAAATCACAACGTCATGTTAGATGATATGACTGCAAACTTTAATCAGACAAATCATTCGGGTACAAAAAAACTAGCTTGACAAACACTAGCATTATTTTGGGGAAAATTTCTCAAAAGATATCATTTCTTTTGTAGAAGGTAACAGTATGTACAAAATTTGAAGGTTAGTAGTACAAACTTTTACACATATGCAGGAATGAGACTTGAGTCAAAGAATATTGTGCTAACCACGATAATACATCTCTTCTTAATAAGACCCCTTTGAATATTATTCTTTCAAAAAGCTCTGATGTTACGCTGTTCTTCACCTCAGCAGTTGTTGTTTACAGAAAATGCTCATATCATCTTTGGTCCAGAATCCCTACGCACTCGGATATTGTCATTTTCAATTTTGTCAAATTGATAGCTTGCTCTACGTTGTTGTGGAACGACAAAGCTCTCAATGGTCTGAGTGCTGCCTAAAATGAGGATATTTTACTCACAGCCTAAAAATCAAACGGCAGATGCCCTTACCATTATGCATGGAAGTTGAATCTACGATAGAGTACTTATCGAAGAATATGGATTGCGTTGGTCGCAGAAGGTAGGTGGTAGTGGCGGATAACATCATCATTTCCCATGTCAGCATGAATGATGCCCAAACTAGAGAAAAAGAGAAATTTTCGAGATTCTGAGTTTAGCACTCTGTGAAAAGCAACTAAAACTTACATTGTGCCTTAGCAGTTGCAGTTAGCAAGCGATCCGGTGAGATGATTCCGAAACAAGCGGCAAAATCGAAACAGAATTTTTGAATAGTGTATACGCACTGAGCGATATCCACTATTGTAAAAAGCTGAAGGAAGCGGTATGGAGCAACTTTTTCCTGAAAGTTCCATGATTAAATAGACCAAAGCAATTATCAAATTGTTTGAGGATTTTTCAACATTGACAATGTCTTCTCATCTCAAGAAATTGGTATACCCTTGTTCCTAGCTGAAAATTTAGCTATAGAAAAATTCTAACAAACGGGCTTCTAATAACATATCAAACTCATATGTTTTATTACATTAACATTTGACCTAGTCGCTAAGCTCCAAATACAATGAAATATACAATAAAATTTAAACTACATTTTTCAAAATCAAATTATCAGCACTGGGAATGAATTTTGAAAGACAAGAATCTCTTTAAAATTTGACCAGGTTCTCATATCATTCTTCTAACTGGAATTTCTAGGCTTATCAGATCCTATCACGGATCACCTTAACAGTAAGGAGTAGATATGTTTTCACTTTATAATGCCATCCTTTTACAAGAAAATAATGATGTTTACTGAAAAGCAATGGTACTGTCTTACTTTCCCCAGAGGAACCATCACATAACAGCCGTAAAATGCTACGCACATCGAAATTAGACCAAACAGCTGTGAGAACATGAACC